AATAACGGCGTGTATAGCCACCTGAATGTAGAACGTACTGTAGTGTAGAGATGGGCTCCAGCGAGCACAGCACAGATCGTCCAGCCGTAATAACGGTGTGTATTATCATAAGTAACGTTCTAGTCTTTGTTTGACACGAGCGATGGAGGTCGGGAAGTGGCACGGAACTGGTGAAGATGTGATCGACCTCTCTTCATTTGTTTCCTCTACTAGGCTCAACCCAAATGTTGAGAGCAAGTGAGGAAGGTGATGTCTGTCATGAAAATTAATAAACACATTTTTAAATGGACTAAATTTCGTTTGTCTTGGAGTTTGGAAGGGTATTCATTTATAGCAATGATTACTGGTTCAGAAATATACACAATTTATTTTTTTATACCGAATTGCATGAAATTGCTAGTTAAGTGATGAAAAACAGCTTAATCGTAGGCTAGCATAATATATCGACAATAGTGTCAACATGGTGTGAACTACATTCACCCATCCTAACGTGAAGATATCATTCCCATCAATCCCATCAGTAAAACTAATTCAAAATTATTCACCCCTTACGTGTATTCATAAAACAAACGCCAGCTTTAATGAAACGCCACGAAAACACTCGAACAAAGCATATTTTCACTTAGCAAACAAACAGAAAAACAAAAGAGAACAGTAATAGCGATTTGCTCCTGTGAACGTGTGACCGGCTGATAACATCAGCTGTTTTAATTGTTGCACAGCTGAGAACTATTTAACATGCAGAGTTCGTTGGCGTGGTGACGACTTTATCCTATAATCTCCTGTAATGCTTGTAAGATTGTGTACTTAGAGGCAAAAACTCCCCTTGCCGCAACCCCTAGGCTCTTTGACTTTCGAGTCAAACCTTTGTGTGACCTCCAATTATCACTAGGGCTTTGCCCTCCAGTGGATTCCGTTATATGGGTTGTTACAAGTGTAGCTTTTTAGTTAAATATATAGTATTTTTTAAGAAATTATTTCAACACATGTCACCTTTTCGATAAGTAATTTTAATGTTGTTCCGCAATGTTGTAATATTTTGTAGTTTCAATGTTAATTTCACACGGTTAAATTAATATCGTGAAGGCTGATGACGTCATTTGTGACGTAATACGATTACAATAAATATATCGATGACCAATGAAGGATTTCCGCTTAACACTTTGTCCTTAGCATTGAGCATTATTTAGTTTTCAAAGTAAAACAAAGACAAAAAGTGAGTCAGAAATCTGAACGAATTACCTTAAAGTATACGGTATTTTTGGCAAAAGGAGGGAAATTAAATCAAATTCAAACGATTGCTATATCGATAATACTCCGAAACAGGTTTTATTATGGGTATAAAAAATTTAGATTTTTCATTTCGAAGAAAAAAACCTTGATGTATTTTTATTGTGCAAACAAACTTTTATAAAAGTTATCATATCGTGAACTATTTCTCAGTTAAGTTCTATAGGTTCTGCACATTAAGGCCAAGTCGCTGATCCTATCTACACTCATTTACATTATTATTTAAACAACATAACCGATATTTTATAACGATCCGTCGCGTTTCCTTCAGTTCGTTGCCCCTTATTTGTAGCGGTTGGCAATCTACATGCTGCACCCTTATTGCAGTATCAGTTTTGAAGGGGCGGTGTGTTCTCCAATGGACCTTTTGAGTCTGGCCGATCGAAAAAGCTGCTCTTGCCTTACGTTTGCTAAGTAGTTTCTGAAATCATTGTTATTTGAACAATTAAAAATACCGCAAACATAAATTGGCGAAGTTCTAAAGCTTGATTTTAGTTACAGCAAGATAAGTAAACTGCTTTATTGAATTATTTATTTATTGAAAATTAATTGAAGTTTTATAGTTAATTGTATTTAATTTAAAATTAGGTACGATATAAGGTTTAGTAAAACGTATTTTTATCTAGTAAATAAATACTTTTTCTAATTTAAATCTATTCGATTGCTCTAAAATTGTATAAAATATAAACTATTCTTCTAGAGTCGATGTATACCTCTGAAGCGTCTCCAATAATGGGATTGTGAGATAGGTACTAGATTTAAAAGTCTACATTTTAAATGGATCTTATATAAAAATAACTTTTTGATCAGCATACTATTCGTTATTAATTTAAATGCATTTAATAACATAAGAACCTTATAATATTTTCGTATGAAAAGCATCAGTTTAAAAATCTAGAATCTAATGTAATAAAGCTATAATATCCATAAACATAAAAAAAAACTGTAGTGTCTCTGTAAAGCATAACCCCTTCCTCTCAATTGTTACCACACATTTTCTCTGATGTATTTTAAAAACATAAAAAACCATGTCTCAAGAATTTCTAAAGCAGCAACATTTTTTAATAGTGTCGTCCCACAAACAAGTAGAAAACGAATAACCAAACAATCACCTAATTTGTAAAGAACACAAAATTTGACGAATCATAACCTTGGAGGTACATCACAATATTTTTTAGAGAAATTAATAATTAGGCTACAGTGGAATTTGAGGAGAGAAAATCATGCGAGGAAGAAGGAGAAAGAGAATGTACGATAAGAGATAACAGATAACCGGATAGTGAAAGGCCTTGGACATATGAGTCAAGGAGTCGTTGCGTGAAAGAGCCATTGTTGAATGGAAACATGCTGTCTTTACGCAGGGTAGGCTTGAACAATGTTGAATTTTACAAAACTGAAATCTCCAAGGCCTTGCCTTACTGGGTCATAGTTTTCAAAACTTTGCAGCAAGACCATAACATTTTGAAAAAGAATAGTTGTAAAGCCGGATTTTTTTAAATTCACTACAACTTTATACCTATAGTTTGTGTGTAAATGTAACAAAATCCAATTGTATTTTTTAATCATGTCCAACCTAACCCAACCCAATCCAAAATAAAAATGTTTAACATGATTTGTGAGTAATTATAACATTTCAAAATGAAACTAGTACAGTGGCAGTGAAGTACTAAAAACTTTCCGAAAATACTTTATTTTTAAGGACGTAAGCATACGGACGCAATGCAATAAAATTTTTACTCTAGGCTACTGTTAAAAGCACCTCGTAAAACACCATATTTGTTTGGTTTTCAACAAAGAGAAAAACTTTCTGAAGGTGTATTATTTGGGAATTATGATAAAATAAAGATTTACCCACTTGACCCAGGTGTTATCTAACTCGGTTGACCTTGAGATAAGGAAGCGACTTGTGTGTGGGCGTGAGAAACTGTCGTGGGACCGACAGAAGCGTGTGCGTGTGTGTGCGATTGAATGTGTGTGTGAGGGAAAATGATATAGTACTATAGTGTTTGCCTGGCTTGGCTTCCCCTAATTTCCAAGAGAAGTGTATTTTGTAAAATCATGATGAGAAATCGGGAAAAACTCAAAAACACTGTCATAGCTAATAGTTTTATTTTCAATTTCTTTGTTTGAAATGAACGTGTTAAATATGGCTCTGAACAGTTTACATTAGCCATATTTGTTATTGCATTTAACAGATTTTTTGCTAACTTATTGTAGTTATGTGATTTCTTACTACTTTAGTCGGTAATTATAGAAATTATTGTGAACGTTTAGTCACGATTAGTAAAAAATATGTTCACTACGTTTCGGTTTTTGGAATCTGATACCGTCCTCAGGCGAGAAAATGCCTAATTTTAAAACATTACAAGAAAACTCAACAGAACTGTATGTTTTGTATGTTGATTGGAAATGTCGGCAATAATATTTTAAATAACAATAACTCGCCATCTAACGTCAAATGAAGAGTTTCGACGATTGTGTCTGACAACACAGAAGCTTGCAACAATGCTAAACATTCCATTACACGATTAGACACAAATCTTCACTACAACGCATTCAGCGATTTCCTTTGTGATGACGAAGTCAGCCGAGCGTCTCCGAACCCAGCCGAACTTTGAGATTCCCCATCAGCAGATGGAAGTCATTCTTGTCTATTTCAAGCCGACCGCCCTTGTTCAGTTTTGGATAATTTTAACCGCGCCGTTTACCTAAAATAGCGATCGCAGCGCGGCGAGTGGCAGAGGAATATAAATCAGTGTATAAATATCTCGCCGCAAATAGTGTAATAAGTTAACACCAGGGCGCGCTGCAAATAGTGCGTGTATCGGCGTACGCAAGTCAATGCTCCCTGAACAATGTGGTATCCTTGTAAGGTGTTGGTTGATAAAAAAATGGATATCTGCGGAAATTATCAAAAAGAACTTCGGCGGAAATGGGAAGCTTCTCTGAGGGACATTGTCTTTAAAGATCGACATAGCTTTCCGAACACTGTACGATCAATTAAAACGATTTTATATATTTTTTGTTTTGCAAAGATCAGTTACTTATGTGGAACATTATGCATTTGGTTCCTTCTACTATTGGCTGCGAAAACGGAACATACTGTACTTACACAACAACATACTGTGTACAATACATGGAAAGTTGTTCTTCTTCATCATTGTAATGTTGGCTTTGTCTTTGAAACTATTTAAATAATTTAGTTCCTCCAAAATAAACTGTACTACGCATATAACGTCCTCAGCTCTCTACTCAGTAACGGTGACAAACCTCACAGTCCGCCATGACACTTTCTTCTCCATTGTTTTGTACAAATAATGTCCCCAGCCCACTCCACTTTATACACTCCTTCTCTACCCAAGTTCCTTCTTTACTAATCCCAAGACCGTTATCTACGAAGTGGTTAAAGTTGGACAGAGTCTACGAGGTTTTTTCCATCTGACTCCATCTGAACCAGCAGCCTTGCTTTAAAGCGATTTAAGGCGAACACTATGACCTCAATGAGAATGGGTAGTGAATTGTTCTTTGACCCTCTGTCACAAACCTTTTACTAAAAACTCATCAGGTTTTCTACTTGGTATATGAGGATTACCTAGTAGATTCTGGAGGTTCCTGTTGGTTCTTCTTGTGCTTGATGCTGCGTCTTGTTCTTGATGTGCCTTTCTTTCTTCTTGTTTCTTTTTGTTTGACATCAACTGTTTTGTTTGCAGGAGCGGCGTCGGCTCGGCGTATGGCGCCGCCGGTATGAACGGTGTCAGCTCCGGGGTGGGTTCAGGGGGTGCGGACGGACAGTATCACAACCCCTCCTCAGCGTTGAGTGCTGCTGCTATGGTTGCTGCTGCGACCGCTACAGCCACCGCTACTGCCAGCGTAGTGGCGCTGCAAGAGAGACAAGACATCAACAACCAATTCCCCCAGGTTAGTTCTCGCACTGAACATTGCTAAAGAGTAGATTATAGTCCGATCGATGCTTACCGCATCAGATGGAGTTTGCTGCCAGATGTTTCACCTTTGGAAGGAGTGTCATCAGAGGCTGAGCCTCGTCAATGATGACCCCTCTTCAAAGTAAGGGTGCAACGTCAGGCAGCAGTCTCCAACTGATGACGTTAACAACCCATGGAGTCTAATAACACCGGAAATCATACGATTGATCTAATAACTACTGTACTAATCTTTTGCGGTGTCAACCAATAGTCAATGGGCTTCTTAACGTAGCCACTGAGAATTTTTAGTAGGGCGAGTCTGTCAGTGAATTTCATGACAACGCAATCAAAACACCGACTGCGGATGTCCACGCATAGTAAAGATTGTTTTTATAGTTATACAATAAGTGAACGTTTTTAGCCCCCTTTTACTCATAAATCTAAAAACTAATTTTTGGCAAAACAGCCACAAGAATAACCTACAGCACCTGGTGTTTTATTTGTATGTAAAATATGTTTTCTTTCTTCACTTAATATAAAGAAGTCTCATATCATTTTCATGATTGAGTACCAAACGTCCCAAACATGAATGAAGATGCCAAGCGATAATTTTAACCGCCAAACCTAAGTTTCTTTCAACGAACGAAAACTAATATAATCAATGCTTTGAACAATAACGTTAAACAAGCCAGTTAATCCACAATCCATTGCTGGTTTAGAGTTGTTCCGAGAAGCATGCAACACTATCTCAATTTGCTCCTATATCTGGTTATCAGCTGTTTTTTACCAACCTCGTCATCAAGATGGCGTCCATTCCATGAACCCCGTGATATTGTCCACGATAACCTTATCTCTTATCAGCACTGTCCCTCATTACGACATGAATAATTGGTCCATTCGTAAATCTTCCTCTGTTGAGATAAACATTGTAGCGAGAACAGTTGCAGTTGCTTACATCGAAAACGTTCATTGCTTACAAACTTATTCCCAATTTATTCGACCCTCAGCCAACTTCTGAGTGTAACATTATTTAACCGGTGACCAATTTCTTACTCTAGTTAAAAATGATAAGCAAACACGTGTTAGTACGCGACATTCATGCGAAATGAGAGGTTTATATGCTAAGTGTGCTTAGTTTTTCACTAAATAGATCAGATTGTTTGAAAATGGTTGATTAATTGTATTAGAAAGAAACCAGAAAATTTTCTACAGATAAGGTAACTCAATCCCAGTTAGTGATTTTATTTCTCTTCTTATGAAACACTATCATCCCTCTGATATAAAATAACATCACCATTCGCCATTTTTTTACACATGGAGGCGCTTGACAGTCAATTGCTCTTTAATTAGGTAGGTACATGAGCTACCATATCTACAGGTTCATATTGTGCATTAATACACAAACTACTGTTATAGTTGCAGGACTAGCGGTGGTAAAAGTAATATCTCCAAATGTTCTTTCATTTAATTGGAGACGGTTGAAAATGCGTCCTATAATTGTGTTGTTGGCTCTTGTCATACCTACAATCGTAGTTACACACGGTAGTCCTCAGTAGAGCAGAGGTGCAGTGGCTTGGCTAATGGCTATGTCAAAGTCCCTTAACGCAGATTCCGCCAGGGAAAGCAGTCGCTTCGCTCTACTTTCGTTCCGCGACCTTCCGGTATCCTCCTCATCCCACTCCTTCGGTCAACATCTTCCCATTCTCCATCCTCCCATTCTTCTTCTTCTGGATCTTTCTCTCGTTTCAATTAACCTCTCTTAGTACTTCTCTCCTTTTGACCTCAACATCTAAGTATCGTCTCGTCCTTGCAGTGAATTCTAGCTTTCCTAATTTTACCTTTTTATTCCCTATTTTCTTGAACTCTTCCCACGTCTCATACAGTGCTCTTGGTCTCGTTTACTATAAGATGTCTTTCCTGTCCCCTATCATGATTCAGCAAACATTTTCTTCTTAGCTATATCACACACTGTTTGACTCTGATGGTTTCCTTTTTACTCCAAGCTTTGTCCTCTTATTGGGGACTCTATCCTTCTTTCTGTTGACTTGACACTGTTTTCGCGAATCTTATGAACGTTGCAAGAACATTCAAAACTTCTACCATTAATTACCACAGTTAATTTATTGTCTGTATTTAAACATTGTTCAAATTTTGTTTAACATTGTATTAATTCCAATTTTATTTTAACGTAATCCATTTACATTTTCTACTTTGGCATAAACCAATGACATCGTTAGAAGAATAAAAAGTACATTTTGTGCTGCTTCGTTTTCCATCTTGAGGCTGGTTACAAAGTCATATAGTTTATTTACAAAAGCTTCTCCTCTAAACCGCCGAGTGGACTGTTTGTTGATCCAAAGACGTTCGGACGGACAAAATGCGCGGGATTGGGCTGCCAAACTCGCGCGCAAATAAACGCTTTTGCAGCGGACGTCGGTCAGATTGTGGCTGAAATTAGCCTTTGGAGAACCGCTGATCGTACGAGGAAATGCGCAAAGGCATTCTGACTCACACTACTGAGAATCGAGTGGAATTGGTGCGGAAAAAGACGGATTCGGGACATTTAACTTGCTTAATTTACTTGCTATCGAGAAATACAACGTTTTTAGAAACGTGTGTAGACCAACAGTACCTAGAAAAGAGTTTGATTAAACTACATTACTTTAAAACGTTCTGAAGATTTGGGATTGAGTATTTCTTAAGAACTCCAAGGAATTGAGAACCTTTGATTAGTTCTGATACACGACGTTCTTTTAAGTGCTATTAAATTAGTTGGATGAATGCAAATTAATGCACAGTATCAAATAGCAAGATCAATTTAACTATAACACTATTGAAAAGTACATTGCTATTTTTAGAACCCATAATAGCAAACTAACACTTAAAATTAAACAGTATTTACACTTAAAATATCTTACCTAGTGCAATTAGATTTATCCTGAAACTAATCAACTGATTGTATCATTCATTTTATTAATTCACTAGCAGAGTACCCGTCCTTCGTACGGGGTTGGCATATAAGTATCAAATGCTTATAGCAGTTATGAGTGAGGACATGGTTTAAGAAATTTCGGTTCTTTTTGAAGTTCGTTCGCTACGCTCACTCACCTTTAGGTTGGAGCTCGTTCGCTGCGCTCACTTTCCTTCAGGTTAGCTCGTTCGCTACGCTCACTTGCCTTCGGGTTAGCTCGTTCGCTACGCTCACTCGCCTCCAGGTTGAAGTTCGTTCGCTACGCTCACTCACCTTTTGCTGTTGTCATAAATGTAAAAGAAATAATAGTGCTAGTGCTGAACCCTGTTGGTAATCCTTGTAACTTTTAATGCTATTGAACATCATAGAACAGAACCAACTTGTTTAATTGAAACAGCTGTTAAGATTCATTAATTCCATTTCTCATAAGGTTAACATGGGAAACTCCAGAGCCACTGGGGCGGAGCCACTGGGGCGGAGCCCCGAAGGATTTTTTGGGATAAAAATATGCCTATATGTTAATCGGGAATGTGAGCTATCATCATGCCAAATTTCAGCCCGATCCGACCAGTAGATTTTGAGATTAGCTCATACAAACACACACACAGACACCACCTCTTCTTTATAATAGTATAGATAGATAGATTACGACGCCGACATACCAGGAGTTTTTTTTAGCCTGGAGGTGTTTTCTCACGTGACTTCAGGCTAGAGGATTTCAGCATTATCTCATAAATAAAATCTATTGGTGATTGGCGGGATTCGAACCAGGTACTTAGGGACCGAAGCCCCGCGCTTTAGTGCGTGAAAGCGAGTGGAGAAGATTTGAACCCCGGACCTTAGGGACCAAATGCCCAGTTCTAGTGCATAGTGAATGGAGAACTAAATCTTGAATGAATTAGATGATGCTTTGTTCCTGACAAAAATCAGCTGATTGCTTTAGAAGGAATCGTAGGCTTATGTCCAATGTTCAATATTCAAGTCATCTCTATGGTAAAGCACAAGATTAAAATTCTCGTGACCTACAGCCACGAAGATTACTTTATGGATAAACCCGTGTTCATATTTCCATCCCCAACGTCTTCCCGCTAATTCAATTAAATAAATCGCTATCACTATGTTATTCATCTATTTACCCGCGTATGTTGGAAAGGTATTGTCTATTGGAATCTAGAGAGACCGACCAAGGTTGGAAGACTGAAAGTAGGTCTGATGTACATAACGTGAAGGTGCCCAGTCGCTCGCTGCCCCGTATAGATGACCTCGGCTACCCAGTGCCCACTGACCTGAGCAATAGCCACCTCATTATTTATTTTAATTTTTATCAATTTGTAAATTTATTTTTAAAGATCTAGGTATTTGATGTATAAGGCTTATCAACGCTACGTCTGTATTTTTGTAACAAAATGAGCTAGTGTATTGGTCGATTTAATTCACATTAAGTATGGAACCTGCATTACCTAACTATATTTTGCGTTAAATGTTGCACACTTTTAAAAGCGGCTGTTTAGGGTGTGGGGTGGTAAATCCCTAATTCGAATTAACAAACTCTTAGAGTTTGTTTCTTGAGTAAAATTCATAGTTTATTAATCGAATTTTCAGTCTACAAACTCAATTTGAAACTTACATATACTTATTTCAAAAACGTCTTTTTGAGTTTTGGGGTAGATTTAGTAAACCACTGTATTGTAAATACTATATTCACAAATCCTTACGAAACCTTACCTAATACCCTACAATGAAGGCTATAACGTAATGACTGATACAGTAGTTGATTACTTTCGTGAATATTTTTCTAGAAGTTCAAACCTTAATTTTTCTTTTATCTGTGATTTTCTATAGGTGGTAGGACTGGTGTATTAGTAAAACAATTTTTTAATATTTAGCTCAACACATTGATAAACCGATTTTATTCCATTAGAAACCCTGTTGAATTATTTGTCATCAGTTGTTCATCTATCTAAACATAATGAATTCAGGTAAAAGGTAAGTGAAACCTCGTGATTTAAAACGATTTAACAAGTCAATAGTTTACTTTAAATTATCCTCGTTTGTATAACTTTAAAATGATATTGTGGAGCGTGTTGTTGCTTGTTTGTTCACAACAAGTGTCAGCTGATTTGTTGTGCGTACAATGCACAGGTGTCACGTCATGACGTCATTCGCCTTGCAAATGTTTTCTGAAGTTTTACATTGATTCTTCATCTTCTAAAGTTCCTAGTACCAAACTTAATTTTACTACGGAAAAAATATGTTACGATAAAAGTTTCACTTCTAATGTCTCTATCCACACTGAACTTATATGTAAATATTATAAATTATAACACAGGCAACTGTTTGAGTACTGTTTGAGTATTGTAGGATTTCAAAATATTCAAATAAACAAAATATGAATGTTGCATGGTTTAAAATAGTCATTTTGAATGGTTCACCATCCTCGACCACCTTTCATTAACAGTAATATCTTAAACAAATTAATATATGGATAATCAAATATATTTTCAGCTTTTTTGACCGCCTATGGTAACGAAAACACTCGAACTTTTATGGTGACCAATTTAAACAATAATAGCTTTTATAATTTACTGTCTCTTTTGGAAGGCAAAGTAGCAATGGAAAACTCTTCATAGCGCTAAGAGTTTGAACGAAGACGATTTAAATGCTATTGCAGTCCAATTACATATTTATCAACACGGCAAGACGTATAGGTTACTTTCGTTATCAGAATTCGGAACTTATTTTAATGCTTGATTTTAAAACCATGTTGAAGGTGAAGTAATTAAATAAGAATAAATCTTAATAAATAAAAATCGCCACAGAAATTTGAACCCAATAATTATTTCAGCGTTGTGAAACCCCCATGAAACAGTGTATCGTGTCGAAGGTAATATTTATTTCATAGTTTTGACACACATGTTTGGTGTAGCAATGAATGAGAACAACACTGGACTGGACTAGTTTGAGAGTCGCCCACATTCATTTATACACTTCCTGTCCATGCTTGGGGCTATCTGCAACAATAGCATGTGCAGTTCTAAGGTTCCTTGTGGTAAACACATTGGTTTTCATACACTTAAATTCGTTTATAAGAAACTATAAGCCCTTTTAGTTCCATTTTAGGTTATTAAGTTATACATAGATATTGGTTTAAATTTCGCTATGGATTTTTTTTATTTCTTTATTTTATAAGTATGAAGGTGGTTGTTGGAAAACTTTTGAAGACTTTTAGGCGATTTCTCACACAATTGTGAATTACAAATATTTAAGATTCGTTCTTATTAAATTCAACTGTGTAAAAGAGGTGGTTATAGTAATCGCCATCAAATCTGAAGGTCGCCGGTTCGATTCTTGCGAGATCTATTTTAGATCCAGATGCTATTTGTGATTGTACTAATTTATGATGCTATCTAACAACAACTCTACTTTAGAAAACAGCAAAGTTTAAACAATTTTTTAGCGAAAACCATGAAAAATTCTTCATTACCACAATGCCATGCATTACTACTAAACCGTCTACACACTTACAAAAAGTAACCTCTAGTTTTCCATAAAGACAGTGTAACTCAACCGTTTTTTAAATCAAAACCAACTTTTCCTCAAGCTTACTGCAATTACTGGAATAACGAACTTGCAAAACAAAAATTGATCCGCGTTTACGTTTTAACGCAAAAGAAAATTAAACATAACGAAGGATGGTTTAGCTTACGTGCAATAACCAATAGTCAATCGCCCTTGGTTGTGTGCAAGCGAGGACTGATTGCATAACTGAGCTTGCGTCCATCTGATTGCATTACGCAATCAATTCTCCCCTATCGACTTTGGAGGGTGGCTTCTAGATCGTTCTTGTTTGATTCTTCCTTGTTTTTCTCCCGTTGTTGAAGTTATTTAAATTTGAGAATCCTTACAATTAGTTGTATGCAAAAGTAGCATCGTTTGAAAAATTTTTGAGCATAATGCTAATAACAATTTTCGGATTGTGTTTATAAAATTTAAAAACTATTGTTTGCTCTGGTGCTATGGTTGGCTGTGTGTGCTGGCGTTTTGTGAATCAATGACATGTTTTGTAACATTATCCATCATTAATCATTAATCATGTTTACCACGGAATTGTTTTCCCTAGTCAAGGGATACTGTAGTTTGAAAATAAATTTGGGTGGACATTTATGACCTTATCCGTTAATTCACCACCACGAGTCTTTATAGCAATCGATTATTAGCAATAGAAGTGGTAGTGAATTAAACGTTAGGTTAGGTTAGGTTAGTATAGAGTTAGAAAAACCCAACCTGACCTATCCCCATTCCAGTAGTGAAATAACGGAATAGGTCCGACATTTATATTGACTTTTATGGTTTTAACACTTTCATGGGAACTACGTGTTCAACATAGCCTAAGGTGGAATTCCCTGACTAAAATTAAGCTATATAATCCAGCTGTAACTATTTATTTTGCTGCCATGTTATATCATGTGTGCTTTACGAATCAATAAAATGTTTTTCGACATAACAAATCATCAGTAATTTTGTACCAGGAAATTAAGTAATCTAAGTAATTTAAAGGGCAGTAGTTCAAAAATTAAATTTGTAGACATTTATATTGACATTTCAGTATTTTTACCTTTCAGTGAACTATTCATATACAAAATGGAATTCCCCCGACTAAAATTAAGCTATGACATTCACACAACAGTGTTTCGTCAAGAGATGTAACCTTTGGTGTGTAGAGATAGGCGACAGTAGGACGAGAGTATACTGCCACACACCCCCCCCCCCCACCAATACCTCACACACAGACAGAAGTCGTGTCTCAAAAAGCTTCCCGCAGTACCCACCCCTACAGAGGGGAGGGAAATAGTGACAGTTGTACACCCTGGTTGCCTAGCAACGCTACGTCACACATACGTCATGCAGGGTGGTACGCGCGGGGAGAAATTCCCTATACCGGGGAATTTTTTGGGAACTTTTATGGATATGAATGCTACTTGAAAGTTTCGTACAATTAAGTTATAATAGTGTTTAGTCCTTATTTACAGATTAAAATATTTTTGGTTTAACTATCTTAATTAAAAGTATTTTATAGAATAGGTATTTTGTGGTGATGCATCTTACAGGATATTAGTGGACAGTTAGTTGACAAGCTTATTCATTTATTTATGTACTTCAAGGCACGATAACATAAAAATAGAACATTTCTCTAAACATAATCGTTGGAATTGCCAAAAATAACTATTAAAGACTTTCACGAGCTTTGTTCACAAGTAATTAAAACTATTGCGGATTCGTTAATTAGTTTCAACGTAAGTTAGCCTTTTGAATATAAATATATAAAAATTTTTTCTAAAATGCCGGTTATCATATTTAAACCTAAATTCAAACACGTTAATATCGACAATGCCAAAAAGTTCTCTATTTACACACTCAGTATCACCAAGATCAACTTATGAACGGTATTTTTGTAAAATTAAACACATAATCGTCCAGGAAGCATGTTTACTGTTTCCGCCACCACAGATGCTGAGGGTTGGGTAGGGGTGAGAGAGAGAGGGGGGGAGAGAGAGGAGAGGGGTTGATCCGTCCTTTGTCTACACATCTGTACCGCCCCACCCCCATTCAATCAGGACCAAATAGTTATCAGATACAATAACATTTGACAGGGAATCCTGTGGGAAATTCGGGGATATTTAGTCGGGTTTCGCTCCCGTGACGTCAGCGTTTCCATGACAACGTAGGGGAAGTGAGGGGTAGGTCACCCCACTCCCCTTGATGCTTCTGTTAATTTATATTAAAAGTAAACAATTCTTCTTATCTCCCTCATCATTTCTGATAGTTTTATATTTTCTTTTGCGAAATTCTCCAGAATCGTCGTTTTGGGAAGTTTGCTGTAATTGTGGGGATTTATGTCTCTTTATTTTGGTAGCCAATTAAAATACACCTGTGAGCGGTTCTAAGGAGAGACTTTAATGATTTAATTTTGTTTATTCCTCTTGTTTGAAAAGGATTGTGATATTTCGTATTTTAAAAACCACAAAGAATGTTGAAAGTAAAATTTTGTAACTTTATATTCACTGTGTTTGTAATTAGATTTTTATATATTCACTGTGTTCATAATTTATTTTTTCCCTGATAAATTAGGATTAGATAAAGAGTAAATAAAACTATAATAGCAGATTAGCAGTACAGTAGTTTTTAGTATTTTACATTCACCGTTTAGATATTATTTATATAAGTTTTTTTTAACACACATTTTTAACTAATCCTCTTTTGGTAAGCCCTTTAAAAAAACTGTACAGTATAAAATTAATTTTCTTTAAAAAGTTGCTCATTGTGTACAACTTTAAAGCAAAGTTAAGGGGAAAACTAAATTATTCTGTACATTTTAAACAATTTTTAAACACAATTTAAAAAGATAACTTTTCTTCTGAATCTACTGAAGCGGTTACTACATCTGGAAGCAAGCTGGGCTAGCGATAGAGCCTGTGCCTTCGGTCGCAATGATCCAGGTTCAAGTCCTGCCATAACAAATATGATTTTAAGCTATGTGCCAATGCTCTTGGCCTAGCTTGAATTAATGTGTAAAATATGTCCCGTCAAAAGCTTGGCATCCTAATATATGAAGATCTATGACAAAAATCTATGGCGTTTTTGTATGCAACAAAACTAACTTTAAAATATAACCATTCGTTTTTAGAGTCAATTTTTAATCTTTGTGTCCTGAGTGTTATTAAATCTTTTAGAAACTGTTGAACTATTTTTAATTTATTTCCAAGAACTAAAGAAATGTTTTTTATCCAGATGCAGGTACCGCAGGGCGGACAGCAGTATGGGGGAAGCTACGGGGGTCAACGGGGCCATGGACCAATGGGCCCCATGAATGGGATGAGCCCCATGAACTCTATGGGTTCAATGGGAATGATGGGTCAAGGCTCTGGACCCATGCATGGCAATATGGGCATGGGTCCCACCATGGGGAAAATGGGGATGCAGGTAAATTATTGATTATTAGACTAACTATTGTATGAATAAGGTATTTTAAAGTTTTGAGTTACTAAATTACCTTGTAAATTAACACAGGATAAAGTGCACATAAGAGCAACTTTTACTTTATTAAAACAATATATTATTTAAGACATAATTTTTTCTAGCTAGCAAACTGATTGGTAAATGTATATTGTTGGGTTCTGTATTATAGCATTGCAGAATGAAAACTAACTCATATTCCGGTACTGTAACTCAGGGAAAACTGTACATTGAACCAGAGGTCATATTGATAAGTAAAGATAAACAAAATAGGCAATCATGACTATTTAAAACTTCTACACAGCACATTCCGATCAGAATGTATTGTTTTGTGTACAAACTGAACCCAATTATAGATATGAAACAATGATATCGCCTCAGTATCTCTAATTCATGGTTTAGATCATAAGTATATCAGTTTATGTTTAAATATTTAGAAATATCTTATAAACACATATATTTTCAAAATTCAACATAATTAATTGAAGGAAACAATGTAATTTGGGATCTTTTGGATTTTGAAAAAAAATATCAGACAACTGTTTTCGCTCGGAGAGCTTATACATAAACATCGGACTTAAATTAGAGAAATTATCAGAAATTATTTCCTTCCTAAATCAAAGCTCAACTCATTTTCTTGCATTAGTTGCGCTTATTAAAGGTTGAGCCTAGGAGAAAACTTCCACTATTTAATTGATACAATTAGACACGGTAAGGTATGTTGTGCCGTAAAATATACTTGTGACAAGCAAGGAAGAACCAGAGCGGCGAGCACGGTGTGGAAATTCCTATCGCACAAGGCACATGGTCTTCCTCCACCGTGAGTGTTGTAGTACATGAGGACGAGGGGGTGTTAGACTTCTTACCCTAGTGGAAGACATCAATAGAAATCAATAGAAAAAATCTATTGATATCACTAGATGCTTAGTGATATCAATAGATGTTCATGGATATCATTACAAGTAAATACAAACAAATAGACATCACTGAAAACTTAGTCAATACATATCACAAGACATCTATAAACATAAAATATATCAATATAGATCATTAGAGCAAACAAATCGTTCATTGATATCAATAGAGAATATTTTTTAAATATGTTAGATGTAAATATAAATCAATAGACATCAATACGGGTAAATAAAATTCAAAATATCTCTCAAATGTATCACAAATGAGCATTATGGATTATACAAAATATCAATGTAAAGTGGTTAAATAAACAGTAATAAAAATGTTATTTTTTGAAAAAAGGAAAAACTTTAGTTTTAGGTCATAGACGTTAGCTGAGGTACCTAAAACTCAATATAATTTAAAAATATATCATTTTAAAATTGTTGTAAAACAGTTACAACTTGTATTAAATCTTATTTTTTAAACTGCCAAAAACTGATTGCTAAATAATTTTAAAATTGTTATAAAACAGTTTACAACTTGTATTAAAACTAATTTTCTTAAACTTCAAAAAACTGATTGTAAAACAATTTTAAAATTGTTGTAAAACAGTTACAGCTCGTATTGAAACTTATTTTTTTCAACTGCAAAAAACTTATTGTTAAACATTTTTAAAATTGTTTCAATCTTATATCAACATTGTTGTAATATGAAGTTTAAATCAAAATGTTTTAAAATTGTTATACAACAATTGTAATACAACTTTCGACAACTTTTAACAATTTCTTTCCTAATGGGTTATTAGGGATAAAAATTACTCACAAATTCATTATTGAATTGAATTCCTTATTTCTAGAAATCAATAAAAATAAATTGTATTGACACACTATTCACATCACCCAAGTAGCAAGAAAAGAGTTTGAACTGGTAATAAAACAGTTTTGAAACATGTTAAAGCATATAGGTACATGCTTGAAATGACACAAATGCCATTGAAAAATCTTTTCAAAGTTTAATTATGAGGCCTAACACAGCTTCTCGCATTCAAAGTTAGTCACACATGAAGCGTCCGTGGCGTAATGGCTTAGACATCCGGCTACCATGCTGGAGTCCCAGGTTCAAATCTCGGGAACACCTAGAGCTTTTTGACAAGAATTTTTTTACTTTTTCATTTTTATTTTATTTTTAGTGCATAGTAGATGTGATTCAATGTGTTGAAACAAATTAAAAATTGTTTTTTAACAAGCTACAAATTATTTTCAATTAAGCTAATGACTCGGATCCTATATTTACTTGTATTGATATGTATTGATGTGTATTGATGTGTATTGGCCCAAATACACATACGTATCAATACGTATCAATATACAATTTTTGTATTGATATATATTGATCACTTCCACTAGGGTAGACACCAGTGTTAGTGCTAGACACCTCATTAGTATACCATTGAATGTTTCCTCTGTACTTTACTTCTCTGTAGTTACAATGATGTTTTACACGACACTAACTCCCGTTTTATCTACAGCAGGGAGTCCCGCCCGGGTCGCAAGTTTACCCCAGGAGACTTGCCCCTTACCCCAGTCCGGCCATGCACATGTCTCAGAAGAGGCAAACAGCTTACCCCGGACCAGGACCTTCCCCTACCATGCAACCAGGCTTTCCCCCTCAGCCTAACCCTCAGGTAAAAAGAATCATAGTATACTGTACTAGGTTTTAGATTTCTTACACATGTTTATGCAAGAAAAAAAAATTAGAAGTAATGTTTAGTAACAAGGATATTTAAAAATGATGTTGGTAAATGATATAGATAAATATACTCCCTTAGTAGATTTCTCATACTTATGGATCAGCTCAAGACAGTATCTTTTGGTTTCGTCCGGTGCCGCTAGGACGGTGTTTTTATTTACAAATTGATTCTTGATATTTCATTTATTTAAATCTCGTTTAACAAAATAATGCGATCTAATCAAAAACAGTAACTCATCCCCTGGCTATATAACCAATAAGTAAATAAATCAAAAGAGTAATTCTAAAATATTAGAAACAAAATTTTGTCGACAAACCTGAATTAGACATGAAAATCAAGCTTCAAAATTTACAATGGGATGAGAATTCTACTTGTGTTGGTAAGTCTATGATAACACTTTTAAGATACCAATTTTCATTATGTTTCACTAATAATATTGTACTATTGTAGTGATTTATGCAATTAAACACTAGTAGAATTTCATTAGGAAGACAATAATCTTCTTTGTTTTAATTATTTTTTATTATTATTTTCCAGTATTCCAGTGGGTATGGAGCCGGCAGGCCGGGTTTCCAAGGGCAATACCCACCCCAGCAGTCTATGGGGGGAGCGGGGGGAGTTTTTGGAGGAAGCACGGCGGGGAATCGGGGGTCAACAGGAGTCATGAGGCAAACAACCCCGCCTTACACGACGTCAACAAACCAATCCGGGCAGTACTTCGGACAGTTCCCTCCTCACCAGACGAGTGCAGCGCCCCAGTACGGGGGCATGCAGGAGGTGGGCATGCGTGGCAGCTACCAACACAGCCCCATACCCGGCAACCCTACACCTCCGCTCACCCCCGCTACCAGCATGCCCCCGTACATCAGCCCCAACGCTGATATCAAACCTAACTTCAACGAACTCAAGCCTCCTCTCCCTGTACAAAGTATGTATACAATTTTTTACCTTATAAATATTGTTAAAATGTTTTATTCTAAGTTTAAAAAATGAAACTTGAGTTCATTCTTTGAAAAGTTAACCTAAGTTAAACAAGGGGTGTGTTTCTAGCTTACTGGTTATAGCTACTGAAACTTCTGCGTGAGAACTGGTTTTGCTCCCAAAATATCCACAGAAATTTTAGGGGTTTGGAATGCTTTCTCTTAAACTGCGTACTTACTTTCATACAAATCACCACTTGATTTATGTAATCAATATTTTTGACACATCATTTACAAAATTGAGATACATCACCAGTAAACATAAAATCACATCAGATATTTCTCTTTAAAATAAAGATTTAGTTTTTTTTTGTAATCAATAACTAAAATAAAAATTAATTCAGCAGGAAGAGACATTGTTACAAACAAATTAATCAACTAACTAGATCGTAAACACTAACAAACAAACTTCTGTAAAACTTTTGGTGGTACTTATTGACTTTTTAATTGGTCAAAATGCTCCAGCATTGTAACATCAGTATTTTTTATTACCCAGAAATGTAACACTATTTAATCAACCGTCCAATCACAGTTCGGTTCTATAAAAAATGTTGTTTATGTAATTCAAACAATATGGAATAGCTTAACAGACACCCATATTTAAGCTACTACCACTTTGAAACGAGAGTTTATTTACGAATGGCAAACTACTATACCGAAAGCATTGGGTTTGATAGGTCATCGTATTGATACCATTATTGTTTTATCTGCTCGTTTCACCCATCATCATTCCTCTAATGTTAAACACTACGGTCAGCAAACAACTTGCTGACTTATTTATTGCAGACGATAAGAGTCGAGTGTTCCAAGTGCCATAACTGTTACTCATTCGATTGTTACTGAGGTTAAATTTGAATTCTTCTATTTGATTTATTTTTCAACTGATTTAGTACGCTTTTGTGACTAGATTTAAAAATTGCGGTTGAAATTTGAACTTGAAGTTTAAAAACATTAATCTTGTTTAGATGTAGAATGTATACTTCCATATTGGAGCAAGTATGTTTAAAAAGTAATTTTGGTGAAACATGTTGAAAACAACAGTCTGTCACACAACAGCATGGAAACAATTCTATGATGACCAAATGACATTCTTCAACTTTACTGGATACTATCACTACTAGATTTTAAATCTCAAAAAGTTTTAATCACATGAGCAAGTTAGATTTTATATTCTGCTTTTACTCATACTATCAAAGATTACACATGCTACGTTAAATTTTTGCGTAGCATGTGTAAACTTTGATTTTACCAATAACCAACTATTAATTTACTTAGTACCTTGCTAGTGTTACAAAAAAAAAATACCCCCGCCGCAGCAAACCTGCCGTCTAAGCGGATTTCCATTTGACTGAATTGATTTTCAATTGGTCTATTTAAATAACATTAGGTTTAACGAGTACCTAGGTTTGCTGCTACAAGGAAACTAATAAATAGTGTGTTTTAAGTAAAATAATTATTGCTTAGTATAAAATGAATATATTTGCCAAGTTTGATCAAAAGATATCCATAAACAAGCAAAGTTTTGTCATGGTAAATTGTTTTTTTAGAAGACGATGAGTTGAGACTAACGTTCCCTGTTCGAGATGGAATCATTTTACCACCCTTCCGTCTAGAGCACAACCTAGCAGTGAGCAACCATGTCTTCCAACTCAAGCCTACAGTCCACCAGACGCTCATGTGGAGGTAAACCTTATCTTTATTTGTATTTTGACTATTGCAGTAGAATCTCGACTATTGGTAATTCCTTGGTAATCCGTACATCTGTTTGATCCAACCTTAACTGTTTGCAATCGAGTAATTGAGATGGCTATTTTTGTATGACACTTTAGCGTGCGCTTGGAGACAACTTCTTTCACCAACTGTCCTCGGAAGATTCGCATTGGATGCTTTACTTGTATCTTGTTTTCACACATTGCATTTATAATTTTCTGCTCAGTGCTTACCACACACATCTTGGGCTTAGTGTATAAAAACCTCAAGTTTGCCTAGAACATTGCGGACCTAAGTTTTTGTTCTAAAGACACTGCGAGATTTGACGTTGCAATGTCAAACAGCAAGATGATTGAGAGATGGAGCAAGGCAACTTTAAACCTTTTTATCTAAATTTTTGTTAACTGATTTTTTTGACTACAAATTCCAGAAAAATCTATAGCTTTTCACTACCAATTCTATGCAGCATTTTCTTGAATTCCAAGAGGACAGAAAGGTTGAAAATCAAATTGTCCAATTACGTTTATACGCAAACATAACTTATGATTACTTTATGGATCTTTATTATAGCACAGCATATTAAAATTTCTGTATTTTTAAGCATTTGGCAATATACAGGCTTAGGTTTAAGACTTGACTTATACAACATAACTCTTCCCATTGTTATATTTACTATTTCAACAATTCCGCGTGCAAACCCTCACGCTCTTTACTTTTCTAGGTCAGACCTGGAGCTGCAACTCAAATGTTTCCACCACGAGGACCGGCAAATGAACACGAATTGGCCAGCGTCCGTGCAGGTCTCCGTCAACGCAACGCCTCTCACCATCGACCGAGGAGAGAACAAGACGTCTCACAAACCTCTGTACCTCAAAGAGGTCTGCCAACCCGGCCGCAACACCATCCAAATCACAGTCTCAGCTTGTTGCTGTGTAAGTCTTAAGCTTAATTGTTTAGCATCAATAACTGTTCCAATATAGATGGATTAGCTGAGATTTCTACGATACCGACACACATTTAGGAGCATAAAGTGTAAGATGAGTGAAAGCTTCAGCTTGTTTGTTTATTGATAAAATTTGGTAAATTCCCGAATTTCATGGCAGGATTTCAAAATTCAGTCAAAAACAACCTTTCTTTAAGTCCTTCATAGTAGAAAATCCAATTAAGTTAGTACAATATATTAATTAGTTTCTAAATGTTAATTTGCATACAAAATAGTCAATGAAGGAGTTTGGCTGTGATTGTATTTTTAATTTGTCTGTTTCTGTCCGCAGTCGCATCTGTTCGTGCTGCAGCTGGTGCACAGGCCGAGTGTACGCAGCGTGCTGCAAGGTTTGCTACGTAAGAGACTTCTCACCGCAGACCACTGTATAGCAAAAATCAAGCGCAACTTCAGCAATACCGCGTCATCCGGCCTTAACTGTCAAGATAGGGACAGTGTGGAACAAACGGCTCTCAAGGTATGTGAATTGTCTGAGTAGCCGAGTGGTTATAGTATTTGTGTTCAAATCTGAGATCACTGGTTCGATTCCAACCAAGATTTCTGGACCCAGATGCCATTTGTCATTGGGCTAAAAGTTAATGATGCTATCTTACAAAAGGTCGATGATAGTTTACAATAAGACCAGAGTTTTGACCGTTCCATTACAAAAACTTTTAAACAGCTAGATCAACATTTATATGATAAAAATTATTGACATTTCTGAAGTTTGACTTTTATCTCGTTTACAACATCCTTGCATGAAATCACACAACAGAACAAACGGTGTGAACCCGCTCTAAAAAAATGTTTTGTCACAAAATCTGTTCATAAACTTATTTGAATATTTTAAAAATTTTAGAGTTGAACTTGATGTAAAATCTATTTCAGGTGTCGCTTAAGTGTCCAATAACATTCAAGAAGATCACCTTACCAGCGAGAGGCCACGATTGTAAACACATTCAATGCTTCGATCTGGAATCATACCTTCAGCTCAACTGTGAGAGAGGCTCTTGGAGGTGTCCTGTGTGCAAGTAAGTTCCTATTTTTGCTTTAATTAAAGACCTAAAAATAAGTTAATGCTTTCAATACAATTCTTTAAAACAGACACACGCTGGGGTGTGTATTTTAAGCTAAATACACATGAAAGGTGCATGCAGAATGGAGTGAAATGGTCTGTGTAGCTTTGCTTCTAAGACCTTAGGCTAGTATTCCATCATCAATGCTAAGGCCAGTTGTTTCTTATCCAGGACTGTTTATTAAAAGCCCAATGATCAGGCTTGCGGTTAGCATGTGACTTGCTATGGGCCGGAGAGATAATTGTGTCCCGTTCCCCCTTCCTTTTGAAGAATTTTTCTCCTCCTTGCGCCCCCAACAAACGTAAAACCTTTTGCTCCCCGAGAGCAAGTGATTTTATTTTTAGGAACCTGCGATTCACTAAGGTTTTTAAGTTTTTTATACTCCTTAATAAATATGACTTTAGGATGCTGAAGTAGGCATCCCATTTTAATAGAGCACTTTAAGCCATTTCTTTTTCAACAAGGACGTAACTGAATGTGCAAATCATAGTGTCTAAATCTTTTCCCTTAATTTGTCTCACTGTGGTAGTTGACATAAAATGTTCTTGATAAGTAGTAGTAAGTAGTATATTTAGTTTTGCTTGATTGTAAAGTTCCCATATTCGACAGATATCAGAAGTTTAAATCTGTGCACTTTGGCTGTGGCTGAATTCAACAACGTTCATTTTCATTCAACCGGCCGAAACGTCAACATAGGAATTTAATCTCTAGTTTTATTTTAGCCAAATTATAACCGAGTGCTCATAAATTCATTCTCCTTGCAGTAAACCGGCGCAGCTAGAAGGGTTAGAAGTGGACCAATACATGTGGGGCATTCTGAACACCCTGACAACATCGGACGTTGAGGAAGTGACCATCGACTCGTCGGCCAACTGGAAACCTGCACGAGGAGTAAACCTGAACATCAAGTCGGAAGAAGACACGAGCGACTCCTGCAGTGCTAAGAGACTCAACAAGGCTATGAGTCCCGGCAGCATGACCCTCCCTACCATGAACAACTGGGACATGAGCCAAAGCATGAGTCCCTACATACCTCCTGATATGAACAGTAAGTCGATACTTTGAATAGATCTAATCGTTGTTTTGTCACTATTCAAGTCTATAGTGGGGACAAATTCCATTAGACCGCGTGCGGTCAATTCAATTTTTCCAATGTGGAAACGCTCACCATTGTGGGAAAACCGGGGTCGCTTACCAATATTTAGGTTCTTTGGAAAAAGCAAAGTGGGGATGCCGTTCCCACATGTTCCCCCTTCACTACACCACTCATACTTCTCTTGTTACTATTCAGTTCCAGTCAATCTATCTATTCGAATCAGCTTTCGGTAAATCTAGTCGCTCTTTCATCACAATTCAAGTAATGTGTGAACGGTAAATCAATATATCTGTACAAGAATCGACTTTGAGTAGATCTATAGTTTTGTTCAAGGAAAGGCACTAGGCCGGGATTTTGAACTGTAGAATAAGGAGGATAGCAGCTATCTTACATTGAATTCTATTTTATTTTTAAGAAGTGATGCTCTTTTGAAAAGCTTTACTACTTTCTCTACACTTGACAAAGTCTCTCAGGGTACAAAATATTCTGTTTTCAGTGTCATTTTCCAAATGTTTATGGCTAAATGTTTAGTCATTCTTTTATCACAATTCAGCTTCAGAAATTAACAGTGAGTCAATATTATATCTACAAAATCAACTTTTGATAAATCGCTTGTTCTTTATCGCAATTCAACTTAAAGGTATAAACAGTTTAGTCAGTACATCTACACGGATCAATTTTTGAATATATTACTATATTTGTTACTTTCACAATTCAAGTACAGACTTGAACAGTAAGTCTTCAAACAAAATAATCTTTGAAAAGTCTAGGGATTCTTTAGCACAATTCAACTTTAAAATGGGAATAGAATGTCTAATTTTATCCATAGTCAAAGATACATGAATGTTTTCTGCAGGTATTGCCAGTGGGTCGATGATGAACTCCGGACCTCCCTCCTACTCAAGCACGATGGGCCGAGGGTACGACTTCAACTCCAACACTTCCTCCTCCAACAATGAGTTCTCAAGTGGACCTCTTAGTCACCTTAGTGAGTCAGTCAACTCCCTGGATCCCCTCAACGCAATGGAGAAGAGTCTCAATGAACAAGTGAGTTATACGTTTATTCAAACACAACTTTTTTTGTTCAATTACAGTTCTGGGTTAGGTCTTTTTTCAGTGGCAAAGAGTGGCCATTCTCAATGGCAGCAGATATAAAAAAAATATATTTTTCAAGCTTTGTTTTAGAACAAGGAGAAAACGATCAGGTGATTTTCCCTTGCATTTAACTTAATTTCCTTTCCTATTGGTTTTTCTTTTGTCCAATTTGTGGCTTGTATTTGGATGCCTCTCACATGAACTTCAAGAACACATAGTTAATTCCACTTTCAGTACTAAGTAAATACATTTGTCATACTTTCAACCAAAATATAAGCAACCTTTTTGTTTCAGATGCCCCACACGCCGCATACTCCACACACCCCTCACACACCGCACACACCAGGCAGTGGTGGGGGGGGAGGTAACGGCAACGGGAATGGCAGTGGTCCACCCTCCGTACCCCCTTCCTCCACTGCCGACACATCCAACGCTCCACCTCCCCCCTCGGACAACGATATACCCAGCGACCTCAACTTTGACCCAGCGGCTGTTATTGATGGCGAAGGCACTGGCCAGGAAGCTCTCAATGTGAGTACCTAACCTAACTTAACCATGTTATGTTGTATGGTGAAGCGTTATGTAGGTAGTAGTAGTTGGGGGCAGCCTATGGTGAACGATGGGTATGATCCGTGTCTTATCCTTAGGGCTCCCTAGTCCTCTTTAGTGTGAACCCAGTTGAGTGCGGTAATAAAAGACCGGCCACCGCAATGGTGAACTATACCCGGCTTACGACGCAGACCTAAGGAATAGACAATATTTCTTTATTTACATAATTCATAGAGAATAGTAATGCGTCAACAAATCTCATCAGTCATCAAATAGAATCCACTAAGTGATTTCTTAACCTTTGTGAAGCATAGTGTGTGGATATGTGAGAGATTATTAAAATATTTAAACTAATTAACAATATATTATAAAACAATCAGGACTAAAGTTTAAAGAAAGAAAAGAAAGGCTTGGGATGGATAGATTTGTTCAAGGAAAGGCTCTAGAACAGGATTTTTGAATAGTAGAATAAGGAGGATAGTTACTTGAAGAAGTACAGGGATGTTCTATGGCCTACCTGTACTTCTTCAAGGTAAGCTGACTGCTATCCTACTTATTCTAAAATTCAAAGATAGAAATAGTTTTACTATTGTGAATAGCCTTTAATTCTAAGGATCAAATATGCATTTAACCGATGTAATGTTTATTGCAGCTGTTGCCGGATAATGTGGTAGACCCGATGGAGCTGTTGTCTTACTTGGACCCCCCTGACCTAGCGACCCCCCCGTCAAGCGGGGCCAGCAGCAACGGCAACATGGGGACACCTGGAGCCCACACCAGCGACGACATACTCGCGCTCTTCGAGTGATCATCTACATGTTCCTTCAATTGAATCTTAAGTTGCCATGGGAAGTGAGAGACGTTTCTACAAACGCGGTCCGATCCCGTTCCTCAGCGATAGTCGGAGAGGAAGTTTGTTATATTTATTTTTACTTAACTCGCTGTACCTTATTTAAAATTATAGATGCGTTCTCTTGTATCTATGTTCCTTTGTATTTTAATTTATAGATTGGATTGAATTTCGTATTTATTTTTCCTCGGTGGGACAATGGCTGACATAATTTCGCTCGGTGATAGTTCCTTGAAAAGTTAATGGTGTTGAAGATTGAGATTGTTTGAAAAAATGTAGAGTGTGCAGTTTAGTTATTTCAATTACTGTATTAATAAATTGGTAAGGTATTTAATTTTTTTTATTTTGAAAAGTACCTAAATATAAATAAATATAGTAGAAATACAAGTACACGAATATAAATATGTTGAAAAAAGAATGAATTACACAAATTCTGTAGAAAAAGAAATTACAGAAAAATCAATGAGATTTTATAGCTACAAGTTTAAAAGATACTTGCCGAACCAAAATTGTTAATTCTACAAATTATAGGAATATTAACGTTAAAATCCTTATTGATTTTTAACTTAACAACATTATATAAACAAAAGTTTCTTGCTAAGTTTTTTAAGCACCTGCCTCTACTTACACACAACTAATAGGTTTGTTGAACCTAACTTTCGTAAATTCCTGGAAGTTAAGATTAGTTCCAAGCGTGTGACACTCCTAAGACTTACGAGCCGAGCAGCTCATATTCCTATCAAAGTCATTGCCCCACCCGGCCATTCCCAGATAGGCAAACAGCTAACGTCACGCAATATGTACTTACGAGTACGATCGATTGTACGTATGTAAATAACACTGTAGTGTGGCACGGTATATTATAAAGTATAATTAATGGCGGCCAGTCCCCTTAGAAAATAGTATACAATAGTTGAAATTTAAATAAAGATAATTAACAATTAAATATTATATTTTAACTGTTGTTGGATCCAAAATGTAAGTAAGTTGTATGTGAGAATGTGATTGTGAAGTGAGACTTCTCTTATTCTAAAGCTTCTTGTCGATTAGTGAAGTACGTACAAAATAACCTCATCTCTGTGGGTTCATTGAAATACTATTTAGTAACGCAGCACTGATAAAACTCCTCAACTTGGAGTTGAGATTTTAAACTAAATTTAATTTAAATAACAAATGTTGTTAGTTGTATTTCAAAAATATCTTTTGGTCAAAGGAAGCGTTTTACCAATGTGATAAATATTAAATATATATATAACAATTTGCGATAGTAGCATATTAGTTGAGCTAGGCTATTTATCAAATATCCCTTTACGTCATTTTATATTTCTGGATTAAAAATTATTATCCGAATACACTTGAAAAATTTAAAATCCAAAAGAAGTAAGGTTTCTACTCAAAACATACTTTGTTTAACTGAACAATTTGAACATTTAATGTACCATATCCATAAGTTTTGAAGGGCTAAAAAACGGTGCTAATGAATCAACAAGAGTAAATAATAATACAAAGTTTAATAGTGATATTTTAAAGTACGAGGACATAGATTTGATATTGTACGTGCTTCACATGTTGCAGTAGCCCTGTATCATTTTATATAATTATTATTAATTACCATAGAAAATTTGTTTATAACTGTTTATAATGGTAACTATTAAAGATGAATTGAGTAAATTGGACACCAATATTTTACCTAAGAAGGTATTTTATTAGGGCTAGATTATTGAAGGCAACTATTTTGTAAGTTGAAAGTGTCCTACTCCTGTTTAATGTATCGGCTTGTGTTAGGTTTCATTTGCAGTTTTGTACCAACGACACGTGTTAAGGCTTTGTTATTTTGTTCGCACCCCTCCGAAGTAGCTTGTGTTGTACATATCGGTTTTAATGAAAATATAATCGATACTTAAGTATAAATGAAAAGGCCAGACTGTGATATCATAATTTCTATTCTCATAAATTTTCGGTTTTGTGAATAATAAAAATTTTATTTTAAGTTTTAAGTATTGTACATACTCTGTAATGTTTGTGTAGATCAAAAACTAACATATAATAAGTCTGTGTTGCATAAGTTCTTATGTGTTCCTATGTATGAAGTGTAATCTAGCCCTAAATGTGCATTGAGGTTCACTCGTCGAACGAGAAGGTTGTAGTAGAGATGTTAAAGGTTTATTTTTCTATTCTAGAGCAGTTGTTTGCGACGGACGCTCTGCCGTGTTTCCATGTTAACACAAACACAGTACAAAAGTTTGTTATCATTTTAAAAGAATTATTTACCTGTTAATTGTCATTTCGTGTAGTAAACCTACTTAATCGGTTTTCCCACGAGTCTTGTCCGTCAAGTTTTTACTGTAGGATGTTTTAACTCCACTGAGAGAGTTGTCTTTTAATCAAATTTTATAAGAAAAACTGTCAAAATCGAGTAAAGATCAAATATTATAGGTAAATTAAGAGTTTGATACGTCATTTAAGAAACCAGTTTAGGGTGTATATAAAGTATCCGTACCTAGATTTATATAAAATAGTATTTTTTATTTGAGTTTTTGGGAGCAAAAGTATTCTATTTTTACACTCTGGTCGGTCCCTGCCATCGGCTCGTGTCTAAAGTTTCAATTGTGATTTAAGTATTCTCCGATACGGATAGGGATCGACCATTTTAAATGTATTTTTACTTGTGTATGTTTGTCCAAAGTCCTGTACAGTATTTAAAGCTAAATCTGTATATTAAAAGTGTACTAGAATGCATTCAAAAGAAAATTTAACCGAATTCCTCTTCAGAAACAATAATTTAATAGCAAAATACTTGAAACACTTGATAAAAAAATGAAGACAATGCATTCTAGTTCACAGTAGCACAAGTGTTTTAGTATCATTGAATCTTTGACATGGTGTCTTTTAAAGCTTGACAGTTTTTATGTTCGTATCAACCAGACCAGAAAAGTCACTCTACTCTAAGGTTAGTTTTTGGACCAATTCTAAAGATACCAACAATTAAGTCACGGCTAATCGCTATCCACTTCGCCCATCTAGATAGCTAGGTCTTCCTTGCTTGCTTTCTTCTACGCCTCAGAAAGAATATTGTAAATAGTTTTCATAGTAGATGTATTTATGCAACCTGTTCATTACACACTTGGCAACAAACAATACTTGTGTTTTTATTACACTCCTCTATGTGTGTTTTTATACTTTAAGCTTCAAAAACAGTGACTAAATTTTATAAAAGTATAGATGATTCCAAATGTTTGGGAAAAAAAAGTTATTGCTTGGTTAAAAATGTCTAAGACATAAAATGATTCTTATAGAAGGAAATGTTTAGTAAACATATAGTCAATTTTTTTTTTATCGTATCTACGCTAGTGGCATTTTTGTAATGATGTCAAACACTTTTAAGGGAAAGCGGTCCAAACCCATTAAAGTTTTGTGGACTATTGAAGGCTAAGTGGGTTATAAAGGTACATCAAGTTACCAAAAAGGGATAATATACCCTAAACCTTTGATGTAACTGAAGGTAAAAGGTAAACCCCCATACCTCAAACAAGAGGCATCACTAAAGCCGGCTCCAGACGTGTGCCATTCACAAAGCACAAAATATTTCACGTTCGGCGATCTAGTTTTCTTGCATATGCGCCGATTAACGAATAGCCGTCTACACACACGTGTTGTTTTCCGAGCAACTGTTCGTTTCGGGAATAGCATATGTATTCATTTACTTGTAATGTGTGCAAAAATACCAACAATGAACGGGAAAACACAAGCAAGAGCATTTGCTGCTTGCCAAATAGACAAACACCTTTCCACACTACTCGCGATTCGGCGAGTCACTATGCTTGGTGCTTGGCGAATGGCACATGTCTGGAGTCGGCTTTACAGAATAGAAAAATAAATAACTTTTTAGTCAAACCATAGGAAGGGGGGTTTTACCTGATCAATACTAGTTCTGGACATATTACCTAAAATTTTCCAAATGACCAACTGGTTTTATAGCTTTATTTAGTTTGAAAATAAGAACAACTTAATACTGTACTTTTATAAGCGATTCCTATTGATTTCCAATATATGAAAAGTGCTCAACACACTGTAGGTTTTGTACCATTAAGAGATAGTACAGTAACAATATGATATATGACTCAAGAATTTCATGCTTTAGCCAAGTCAACACTAACACAAACCCTAATTATTTACTCAACTAAGGAAGTAAACCAAAATTTTGTCACTGACCATTGACCAGTCACCAGTGACCATGTCCATGAAGATTTTTGTGGTCAGAGTCCCAGACAGGCAGGTATTCATCCACCCCACCCGAGTATATACAGTAGGCATAGTATATATTAGATTTAGATTTTTGCTGACACACAAGATCATAGACAATTTTGGGAATGATGAGTCCAACCAAACCATTGTATAATCCAAAGATTTTAATGAGGAGATGACAGCTAGACAGCTTTGTCAATGTCATGGTACTGAGCAAGATCAGCTGGTTCTCAAGCCATGGTTATTAAAAAAAAAAACCAAAAAGATCAACAGTTGGGTCCAGTGTTTTGTTTTAAACCAAAGATTTTGTCTTTCCTCAGGACAGGATTGAACCGGGTAACTTCTGATTGATGGTCAATCACTCCATATCCACTCAGCTATTGAGTTAACCATTTATGCTACCACTAGGTGAACCTGTGTGAATTCGCACGAATAATAAATTAGGTTATTATAGCAACGTCGTTAGAAGTTGCGTCGTTGTATCGACGTTGATCTTGAGCTTGATCGTTGACTATATGCATTTTAAGATCATTTTGCTGTTCAGTAGGGGTATTTTGCAGGACGGAGCTCATCATGTTGAAAACTTGCACGTATGGATTAATATCAAGTTGAGTCAGTGCTGCAAGAGCCATTAGCTTTGTTTATAGCATTCTTTCTTGAACAGCGGTTTCGACGTCCGTAGGTATAAATTTGGGCAAATGTGGGATGCTCCCCTTCTGACGGTTGAAAGGTGACAATTGGGTGATAAACTGTGTCTTGCACCTATAGGCCCCTAAGTTACATGAAAGGCCCTCCACTGTTATGTTCTTCAATTTTAGCTCGAGTGCTGACCATTGCGAGCGCAGAGTTGTACGATCTAATGTTCTCTTTGTAGTTTCTGCTCAAATGATTTGCTCCATTAAACGCTCTTAATATAATAGATTTCTTGGTATGGTGGTAGATTCACTTTACCTTTATGGCAGCGGAATGAAAATCCTTCGCCTCGTCCTCTTTGTTCTTCTTTAAAATGTAGCGCACCACATTTCTGACATTTTAATGCCATCTCGCCAAGTGAATGCTGCTGAATTCTTGTTATTGTCAGTGTAATTTTGTAAATACAAGTTCTGTTCCAGCTCTTCGTCTGGGCTCCTACGTTTTGCATTGCTTGCCGTATGTTGACTCGCCGTGTCCGACCGGCAATATTTCTTTGTCGTCGGGTCCTTGGCATATTTAAACTAAAATATAATGTAAAACTTTTCTCCCGTCGTGTCCTATCGGTAACATTTCTTTGCCGGGTTTCTAATTATTTTTAAAAACATGCAAATAACTGTTAACATTTCAAAACCAAACGAAACAGCTGGGATTTAACTTTTTTAGAACTAATGTATTGACATCTGTTTCAGAATATAATAACATTCAAATCAATCACAATGTTATCCTTATGGAAGGAACTTTGAGGGCAGCCCACGCCCTTAAAAATATATATTTCGAAAATCTAAAGCCAGTTTGCACATCTACACACCTAGACGAACATTTTGGTATATAATATGTGGGGTTAAATCTTAAAATAAAAAAGCCTTATTGTTCACAAAGTTTCATGTCGCGTATTAAATATATAGATAGATACCAATGGGGTTATAATTCAGGTAATTTCTCTGACCTGACCTTGTTATTTGATTAATTGATATTTTGGTTAGGCCTATTTAAATCGACAAATCGAACGTATTAAAGAATAGTTTTTAGTAAATGCAGTTGGTCTAGTAATACCTTGGTAGATCAGCAGATGAAACCCAATCAGCCTGTTCGCCTTGCTTGCCATCGTTGATGTGCTCGTTGAAGTTGAAACTTTAGATCGCTGCAGAATATCACACCCAAATATTTTTTGGACGTGGCTCTAGGACTGTCCTCCCCCAGCATGTACATAAAGATGTCAGGAATCCGGGATGGAAGATTAATATTAAACACTTCCCAGAGGATTGATTTCCATTTTGTTAACTTTGCACCAGCCAAAGACACTGTCAAGGCACATTTTAGAAGGCACTCCTCCTCAAACACTTTGAGATCTGCAAACGCAAGAGATACAACCTTCTGTTGAACCCACCATATCATTGATGATGAACGAGTTAAATAGGTACGGTACCATAAAATGCGATCCTTATGGTACTCCCGAGGTCTGGTGGAACGTGGAACGGTTGTGATTACGAAGGCCCAAGCTTGACAGTTACTTAATTGCAAGCTGCTCTAATGGCGCACACGGCCGGGACGGAAATTTCTCTTGTAGCAATATAAAATTCGAAATGCTAAATGTTTTAGACAAACCCATGTTGATCTAATGCTTTCAATGAAGATCTTCAGTCTGTCCAAAACCATAAAGCTCTCAAACACTATACCAAGTGTAGAAAGGATAGTGATGGGGCGGTACCGGTAGTTAACCTGGTTGTTTGCCGATGATGTTTGCCACCTTGTAAGAGGTAGTCATACTCGATCCTTAAGAATCAACGCCCAAGAAGGGCTTAACCCTTAATTTGACAGCGTGCCATTATTGGCACATGAGGATTCAAAAAAATGTCACGTTCGCCTGTTAACTTTTAAATTCCAACAAACGGCGTCCAAAGGTTCTTTGCCTATTGCTATTATGGTTTAGTGCACTATAGTGGATATTTTGGAAATTACTATCACTTTAGACCAACATATAGAAAAGGAAGTATGGAGGCTTAGTGTAGAAGGTTAGTAAATTACTTCTTATTTCAATATTTTAGGCTGTTTACTTATATATCTAAGTGATTTGCACAGATTAAAGATGAGAAAACATATCCCAGGTCAGTAATTAGCTTAAATATGAATATTGATTTTTTTATAAACTAAGCAATTTGAGTGTGACAAAAATGGCACATCGCCAAAGAACCAGGGAACAATGAAAGTTTTTGGGTGTGCCAAAAATGGCACATTACCAAAGATGCAGTTATTATTATTTTTTTTACTGAGCGCACCTAAAGTGGCACACTGTTTATAAAACAGTGAAAGGTATTTATATTTGTAAATGTATGTCTCTTATTTCCACAAATTGTGAAATAAAAATGTTTTTGTGAGGAAATATTTTTCACTAGGCTGTTTAGAAAAGACTTTGGCTTTACAAAAAATCCCAACCATCCATGGCAACAAATATCTACCAAAAAGAGTTTTATTTCCTGCTGAAAGTGAATCTTCTTATATGAAAGTTGATTGTGCATTCCGAAAAAGACTTTAGTACTTACAAATATTTGATCACCGTATCGACATTTCGTGGAATAACGCATTGCTGCCACGTTGAAAATAATAAAACTGAAAACCAGCGAGACAATATGTCACTAAACAATTTTAGTTATGGGATTTTTGAATTGCTAACCAAAGAAAGGAGTAAAAGACAAGTTCTAAAAGACAAGGATTTACTTTTTCTCACACCAGCTGCTCTGATGTATGTTGAAGATGTACGCTTTGATGTTGTTGGACACTACCCTTTCTTTGTATACATCAAGAGGTCGATGCAGATTTTGCAAAAATAAGAAATCGTCAATAGAGTGTTCAAAGTGCAATGCGAGGCTGTAACTGAAAGAAAATAGCTATTGTTTTGTAGGGTTTCACCAAAAGTAGATGACGTTTCTTGATGGACTTACTCTAATGAAATTTCAAACGATTTTCCTGATGGGCTAATCAATAATGAAATATATTGATTCCTAATGAAATATCAATAAATTATATAATAATGTATTTTCTATGGTAGGTTTTACATGTGTATACATTTTAGTTCATTTTTTATAATGGAGTTTATACCATTTCATATTGGTTTGATAACTTTTGAGGAGAAATAGATTTTTTTTAACTTACATATAATTGTAGTTATACAATTTTGATATTCAATATGTGATAATGTCGAC